TCTGGGAAATTCAATCATTAATTTTAAATTGTGTGATTTTCGTACCAAGATACACCATTATTAAAAGTATCAAAAAGAATTTATCGATTTCGAAACAATTTGGTCAATGGTTTGCACTCCTTAAAACTCAAACCAGTGATAATTAAACGCAGCTTTGGCAACAAAATCCCCGTTGTAATTCCAAAAAAAACGAAATCATCTTAAATTTTCAGCCCTTGTTGTTGGCGTATTCTATTCATGTGAATAACTCGATGCTCATAAATTAATAATGCCTTTAATTTAAATAAATTTTTAACTCAAAATAAGCAAAATGGTTAATTAGTTCCTCAATTATCAAAAAAATAAAAGGGTTTCAGGACTTCCCTTGCTCTTATGATTTTACTTATATATTTAGTCATGAATTCCCATTTTATACATTTTTACAAACAGTGTGGACATATACAAAACGGGGAAAATAATTGAGGTTCCATATTAAAACAGAGAAGTACATGAATATTATGTTTCACTTAAAATTAGTAAATACATAATATCAATTGTCCTCACGTATGTGCCCAATATCATTTTCTTTATGATACGGACCACAACCACTTTTATCATGTCTAAACTGTAGGATTACCTGTAGTCAAAATGTTTAAGTCGTTTTGAAATTGTCGTTTCTTATTTGATACTACTGAAATTCATTACAAACTTTAAGTGTCAGTAGCCTAATTGAATGCAGAAGCATATCAATTGGAATGAAAGTTTTAGTAAATTAAGATATTTATATCCTTACTCAATTTATTAAAAACATATTTCAGTGTTAGTCTCAAAGTAGCACCAGCATCAACATTAATCATACAATATGACGGATTTCATCTATTTCTAATTGATATATCGATCGTTTTAGTAATTAGCAGGTAAATCACACTTCTTCTGTAATCAACAGTGTTGATTAGAATAACTGGTGTGTCGAAGGATTGAAGAGGAAGGAGAAAATAATAGAATGATATGGACAGGGAAAGGGGTTTAGAATGAACAGTCTAGACAGTGAGCGAGAAATAGAACGTGAATGGAATTTTTTGGGTTTTTACCGGGTGTATTTGTTTTAAAATTAATTGGACCTATTCGTCTCCACATGAACACCGAATATTAATACGTTTGGTCACTTCCGAACTCCCATTTCAGGCAGATGGGCCAAACAGAAATTCATTTAAGATTTTCCACACGAAAATTCTTCACAATATCATAAATGCTATTCTACGAGAGATTTGCGAGAATCTGAGCCTTGAGTGAATGTGGTTCACTGTGTTCTGCTAAGTTAGACATATTGGCAGTTTCAAAGCTCTAAATTGTAGCTTATGCCACGTGTACACACCCCTTCTCTAAACCCACGTAATTAGGTGTTAGTTTTCCCAAAAAGTCAGACAATTTTCACCACTATTACAGAATATGAAATAGACTAAAAATATTTTTGTTAAAAGAATACGTGACTACGATTGCTGAATGCTATTTTCCAAATCCAATGCGAAAAACGTTGTGTTCTCAAATTATGGTCTAACATATTTACCCACGAAGTGGAAAAAAGCCAGAATGGGAAGAAATGGCACTTAATACGAATTGGTACAAACACTTTATTCCTTTTACCAAAATATATTCAAAAATTGCAAACAGAAGAATTAAAAAGTCGTGAAATTGAACAAAGGAGGGATATGCGCCCCACTTTCTGTCGAAATATGCAGTTTCTATTATGTTTGAGACTTAACTGAAATCCATTCTTTATTCTGTAAATGCGCAAAATCGTTATGACAGATTGGTGCTATAATTCCTGTTAATATTACTGCTTCATAACTCTATGAATGATAAGGACGGTAGTCAATTTCCTTGTTGAGGTTCTATATTTAAATTTTCATCTCCCTCGTCAGGGCGAATCACAACGTCTTCAGATCCTCCAGTGGAATGCTGGAGGGATGTCACAGGACAAAAAGATCCAAGTCCAGAAAATCCTACAAACCTATGATGTAGACATTTTCACAATTATGGAAGCAAACATTTNAAGAAAGACGCTCAGGAGAGGACAGAAAGTGCCCTAAATTGTGCACTTAAACTACTAGCAAACTGGTGCGACAACAATGGAATGGTAATTAACACCGCAAAACTGCATTCCAAACTTTTCCTTTGGCCCGTCAGAGCATAAACCCACTTTTAAGGTACAAGGATTCTACCATAGAAAAAACCAATGAGTTCACTTATCTCGGAATGACGTTTGACACAAAGCTAATGTGGAAAAGTCACATTGCTAAAATAGCGGAACGAATCTCCAATAGACTGAATGTCCTGAAGCGTCTTGCTGGTAGCGTATGGGGCTGTGCGCGCTCAACTCTAAACACCACTTACAAGATGTTTATTCAGCCAATAATGTTGTATTACTGTGAGGCACTCATTACAGCCACAGAGGTGACTCTCAAACCACTCGAGAAGGCACACAACCAAACATTACGACTTATTACTGGAGGGATAAAATCAACATCTATTGATGCAATGTCCCTAGTTACAGGAAGCACCACAATATGTTCCCTTATCAAAGAGAAGGTCTTGATCCTGTATGAGAAGTTACTGCGCATTCCCATGGACAAGTTCTTCAATACCTATGAGAATAGACCAAGACATCTGAAAACGCAATCTGGTCTAATACAGAAAGCCATAGAACTGAAGAAAGCATTACAAATCGATGACAAACCAAAAAGCCTCTCTCTACCCATGAACCCATTAGCAGACACTGATGTAATGTGTTGCACCCAACTTCTTGACTTCTTCAGGAAATCAAACACCCCTCCAGAACAAATGCGCTCACTGGCCCTTGAGACAATCGATGTCAACTATCCTGCAGATCAATGGCTCCAAGTCTTCACTGATGGGTCATACATAGTAAACCAAGCAAACATTGGTGCAGGTGTCTATTCTGAACTCTTCTCTTTCCACGCAGCAGTGGGACACAATAGCTCCGCATTCGAAGGAGAAATAGAGGCCATTAGGATAGCACTATGCTAATTATGTTGTCTGGATACGAAATTCACCAAAGCGGTGATACTTTTGGACTCACAGTCAGCAATAAACTCAATTGGAAACAGAGAGCCACCCAAAACAGCTGAGATAAACGAATATTGAAAACTTTATGAGCTGCTGAGAGAGAAAAACAAAACAGTGGTCCTACAATGGATTCCTGGTCACTGTGGCATTAAAGGAAATGAGATTGCTGACACACTTGCTAAGAAGGGGGCAACGGTTTTGCAATGCATGGACCGGCCGATGTCTTTCCACACAATGAAGGCCTTAATCAGGAGAGAATTCAAGACCTCAAGGTGTAAGGAAATTAAAGCTCGAACAAAGGAGAAACAGTGGACAGTGGCACTCTCCGATATAGCCTACTGGCCAAGAATCGAAGCAGTTGCTGAGTTTAGACTACGTCCGGACACGATTGCTTGGCAAAACACCTTCACAGATTGGGAGTATACACTCAATCCACATGCCCCCTATGTAACCTACAGGAGGAAATAGAGAAGCTTCACCTGATTCGGTGTCCAGCCCTAAAGACAAGGACGGAAAGCCAGAGATACTGAGAAGCAAGAAGACAGCTAATGTATTGCTATCAATTAACTGCTCTAAATGTACCCCCCCCCCACCCTTGGGGGAAGCTTAAGTCAAAGTTTAAGGGCTAATGATAAATATCACAAAGCCTGGCATTTGAAATAATAATAATATTGAAACGTACATTAGCTTACTAGTTTACTAAATAGAGGGTTACCTAACTTTCTTTCAAGTTTTTTTTTAATGAGAGTACATGACCCAACTTTGATGTAATTTGAATATATTTTTCCAATTTTGGTTTGAAGTTAACTCTGGAAACGTTTAAATAAATTTTTTCTTAGATTAATAAAATGGAGAGAAATTCGTAAACTAAGATTCTTATACACTGCATTATCGGTTATTGAATTTCTCCATCTTAAACTGGTTTTGGACACCCTCACCTGTGGAACATCCGTCAGCCAGTCATTTATCAACTATTCGGGGTATTTTATCTTTTCTTTGAATTAGAGTAACTATGCCTTTAATAAACAGTGGCTTAGAAGTTGTAAGATATTATTACAGATTCTGTTATATATATATATAGATGTAAATGTTGTTTTTCAATCCACATTTTATCTGTTCCATCATTCCTTATGTATTCTGTTTAAATAATTTGGTTTGTAGAGGATTGCTACGCGAATGAACCTGGACCAATCCTCACTAATCTCTATGCCCAGCTCCCTAATTTTGAAAATGCACCCGAAATTAGTTAAGCTACCTCAACGATATAGAGGAAACAGAAATATCACGTTGAATAATTAAATTTATTTTCCGTTTACTGACATAAAGCTTAGATTTTAATTGCTAATTTTCGTAGGTTGATCATATAATGACTAATAATTATTGATTGCACTCGTGACCTCATTCGCTCCCTACTGTGGTCGGCATCACTTTCACACGTTCCAGAATGTTCCAGAGCGTATAAGATCGCTTTATTTACTTTTGTTAGAACTGTGTACTCCATAAATTGGCTCGATTATCTAATTTTTAATTACGTTGGTAATAAATACTAAGGAAGAAGTATCTGTTAGAAGTAATCAATATAAGTCAAAAGCCAAAAGATTCGTAAGTTGTAAATTAAAAGTGGCTAGATCACTATTTTTCGTTTCGATGCTAAATTTTCAGGCTTTATTACCACAGGCTCCCCAAGAATAATATTCATCTAAAATAAACAATCCCGACTGGTTACTTACGGAATAGCCAAGGAGCTTTGGAATAACTAATCGTGCATTATTTCACACGTACATTTTTCTTGAAAATTCCATTAAATTTCACTGAGTATCAGGAAATAATTACTGATAAAAAAATGTTGCATTTAAAAATGGGGGGAGGGGTGGAAATATTAATGCTATATTGATGCAAATGGAAAAAGAGAACAGTTGAGAAATAAATGGGTTTCAAGGATCAAGAAACTCGTCCTCAGGATTGAAAGGCTCTGGTTCAAGTCCACATGGACGTTTGAATTCTTGACCTGCTGCACGAATCCACTTATTCATAACCCACTTGGTCCCTGCCAGTACCGGACAGGCTCCATGACGAGAACGCAAATCGCCATCGCCACTGCTAAGAAGATTGTACCAAAAGACCATTGAACGAGCCACGGGCCTAGCGACGGAACCAGTCTTTGTAAAAGCTGTTCCCCCTCCTAATTCCACAGGCGTTAGCTGAAAGTTTACCATAAATTACCCACGTTAGATCTAACTACGCTTACATGAATATGATTTTGATATAAGAAATGGTTTGAAGAGCAGCTTTTTCAATTTTTTCTCTTTTTTATATCAGTTATATACATTTGACATTTGTTTTACACATTCATCTCTAAATACCCGTTATTTTCCTATTCGTTTCCCATCTTGGTTAATCAAATTGAGGTATCTTTGACTTATCCTTACAATGATGTAAATTTACGAATATAGTCAAAAAGCGAACCACTGATAAGTTCTCTATTAATTATTATCAAATAATAACCATAACATTAAACCCACGTGCGATATTAGGCAAAATTCCGGGGGGGGGGCGGATTTTGGAACCGTGGGACATGCCATGTTGGCATTACCAAAATCATCCCTTTGCATAATTGTGGAGTAAACCCTACCATTAAGGTACTGGCACGGTATTATTCAGTTATGGTATTTGTACTTATTTTCGAAGGCCAATAGAATTTATGCCAAATGGAGAATTCACAGAAAGTTGCTGCTTCTGATTATTTAGAGTGGTCTGCCAATTTCTTTACAGAATGCTTGAAATCTTAACAGCAAAAATAGCGGTTTCCCACTTATAGAGGGAAAGAGAGTAAAGGCAACGAATTCCAAGCATTCAATGGTACCTTCCATGCCTGACTTCGTTGCTTCATGACTTTTATCCAAGCTCTCCTTGCCCAAACACCAATGATCGCTAGACAAACTATGTATGCCTCCTCAAATGGCAAAAGACATGGTTTCTGCTCTCCTATCTATCTCGGAACTCCCAAATCGCTTACCAAGATTTGACCTCCATGGTTTCTTGCTTATTGCTAGGCAAACCAAAGCATTCATTCATTTTAACTTATTCATCTCCCATACCTTTTGATTGTGCATATTTACGAAATGATATTATTTGTTAAAGCAAATTGAATGAACTGTTGTAAAAAGACCCAAAACGTAGATCAATAGGAACACCATCGAACTGGCCTATAAGTACAACTGCCAATATCATCGCCATGATTATGCTAACGAAGGTATCCTGGTGATTACCTAATGAAATACTTACATTTCTAAAGTTTTCCTATTTAAGAGAATCGAACAGTGCGACTGATACTTCAGGCTAATAGATGTACATTAAGGAGTAGCCAATAAGAATCCTGGGGTGTGCGATAGACTTACCTCCACGTGGTGCACCCTGGGCAACGTATGCTCATACGGCAAAAAGTCTATTAACCGGCAGTTGACTTCTGACTTCAAACTACCAAGACCCCACCGCATTTCATATTCGATTAATTCCACAGTACTCATCTTTTTTCTACCTTTGTGTCTGTCTCTTTTACGTCTGTGAATCATTATTCTGTCCCCCCTCTCGACTTTTTGCCACTTTGGTGTTCCTCTTCCTTTCTGTGAAGCCCGAAGTCAGCTCCAGGGCTAATGATACCTATCATAACGCCTGCCATTTGAAATAAATAAATAAAATAAGAATTCTTCGCGACAATCATTCGTC